AGCAGCAAAAGCGCTTTACACACCACTGATCATGTATTTTGTCAATAATGAGGCTCAATCTTTTTGATACAACTATACTTAATTTTAGTAAAGATGGGGGTGGCCGATCTAATCAGGCGCAGTGCCAAAAGCGATGCTCTGTTTGCTAGCCACCTGATAGACTGCTAAATTCAGATTGTTAGCACAAACACCGCCTTATTCTGAATTAGCTATAAAACATATCTAAATGGCAGGCTCAAACTCGTAAAATTGACGAAGGTATGGCCACTGACGTGGGTGGCCGATCTATCCTGTCGCGGAGTGTATTAACATGTGTCTACTACCCGTTCTCAACCGATGCGTTTTCTTGACGCATGGGTTGCATTCGTTGCATACGTCCCCTACCCCTCACGCACCGGTTGAGGACGGAGCTGAAATAGATAACCTAGCTGTCATTGGTTGAAAGCTAAGTTTAATACAACCAATCACTTGACAATAAGCACAACTAGAATTTCAAAGTTTGAAATTCATACGTATGGAAAAGCGGGTAATGGGCAGGCAAATCCCCCCCCCCCCTCGACAAACTGTTGCCTCGCAAGCGGAACCTGAACAACCACAGCCATATGCCACACTTTGGCCGCTCGAATCACACATTCTTCCGTCTGACCGAGCCTCGTATTCAACGGAATATCCGCCACCTTCAGTCTGCCAAGGCTCTACGGACCAGGCGTTGGGCCATCTTCCGCGACAAGAACACGAGTATTTAGCAATGCCTGTGGAGCGTAACCTCTCGCAGCAGTTTGGAAAAGCGCCTCAAAGCATCTATCTATCTCCACTGCAAAGCATCAATCCACCCCACGATAGTGAACGCCAAGGGCGTGACAGCGAGATACGTATTGGAGAAAATGAGTGCCCGGTCTTGGATCCGATGTAGATCGAACTCAAGTAAGTTGCCACATTCGAGAAGGCCATTTTTGCATGGGAGCCATACGATAAAAAGACCAATGGATAAAATTCGGAAGGAGTGCACGCTTCGAGAGCTGAAGCTCCATTCTAGAACCAACACGTCTAAGCGCATCAAGGTTCTTTGTTGCTACGACAAGCTCTTCAATAGCGGCGAAGGTACAATAGCTGCCTCGGCTATGGCATCAGGGAGTACTCGGTGTACTAAGCACTACATGTCCCGTTTACTCAACGTGTTGATGTCGGATGAGCTTGTAAAGAAGCTTGTCAATGTCACTGGTAAAGTTTTTTTTTACGGATTATATACCCATGCTGCAATCTACTACCTTATTTGTGATGGTGTCCAAGGGAGAAACTTTGATAGGCAAGATTTGAATAACGTTCAACTTTCTGAGAAAGCTCTGTTCTGGAAAATCGCCAAATCCATTCTGGAATATCTCATGAATTCCTTCTCTTTTAAAAGAGTTATACCGTGAATTTTCCATGACTGTCGCTCTCGAACAACAGGATCACACCTTTGGGAGACTTGTAATCGCTTAATTGCTACTATACAAATAACGAGACTGCATAGCTCTTCGTCATCTTAAGTCGGCTCCGCTTTCGAGTACTTGGTGAAGCTCGTCGTGGCTGGATAGCTGTTCTAGACGAAGTACGTTCCATTGCTTCCAGCTCAGAAGTCAAGAAGGTTTGGGGGAATTTACGATTAAATCAGCTCAGAAGTCAAGAAGGTTTGGGGGAATTTACGATTAAATCAATTTGGTTGGATAGAAACACAACAATAT